TTTCTTTTTTTTCTGGCATGTCATGAGATAATAGATAAACCCTTTATTTATTTATTTATTTATTTATTTATTTATTTATTTTTAATGTTTATTTATTTTTGAGACAGAGAGAGATAGAGCATGAATGGGGGAGGGTCAGAGAGAGAGGGAGACACAGAATCTGAAGCAGGCTCCAGGCTCCGAGCTGTCAGCACAGAGCCTGACGCGGGGCTTGAACTCACGGACCGTGAGAACATGACATGAGCCCAAGTGGGACGCTTAATCGACTGAGCCACCCAGGCACCACAATAGATAAAACCTCTAAAGTGAAGGTGCTTTAAAGACCTGTGAGGCCTGAAAACATAAAACTCCTAGAAGAAAACATAGGCAGTAATTCCTCTGACATTGCCCTTTCTCTGACATTCTCAGGCAAGGGCAACAAAAGCAGAAGTAAACTGCTGGGGATACACCAAACTAAGAAGCTTCTGCACAGTGAAGGAAGTCATCATCAAAATGGAAAGGCAACCTCCTGAATGGGAGAAGATATTTGCAAACGACATATCTGATAAAGGGTTAGTATACAAAATATATAAAGAACTGATACAACCCAACACCAGAAGAAAAAAACAAAAAAGAAATAACCCAATTAAAAAATGAGCAGAGGACCTGAATAGACATTTTTCTGGAGACAATATAACGGATGGCCAAAAGACACATGAAAAGGTGCTCAACATCACTCATCATCAGGGAAATCCAAGTCAAAACCACAATGAGATATATTGTTTTACACCAGTCAGAATAGATAGAATCAAAAAGATAAGAAATCATAAGTGTTGATGAGAATGTAGAGAAAAAGGAATCCCTTGCACTGTCAGTGGGAATGTCGATTGGTGCAACCACTCTAGACAACAGTATGGAGTTTCCTTAAAAAAATAAAAATAGAAATACCATATGATCCAGCAATTCACTACCAGGTATTTACCCAAAAAATCCCAAAACACTAATGTGAAAAGATATACACATCTATACGTTTCATACAGCATTATTTACAATAGCCAAGGTATGGAAACAACTCAAGCATCCACTGATAGATGACTGGATAAAGATTTGGCATATATATAATGGAATATTACTCAGCCATACAAAAGATTGAGATCATGGATGGAGCTAGAGAGTAATGTGCTAAGTGAAATAAGTCAGATAGGGAAAGACAATACCATATGATTTCACTTAAATGTGGAATTTAAAAACTGAGACAAATAAACAAACATAAAGCAGAAACAGATCATAAATACGGAGAACAAACCAATGGTTGCTATAGGGGAGGAGCTGAGGAGGTTGTGCAATACAGGTGAACGGGATGGAAGATACGGGCTTCCCGTTATGGAATGAATAAGTCACAGGGATGAAAGGCACAGCATAGGGAATACAGTCAATGATATTGTCATAGCGTTGTATGGTGACAGATGGTAGTCATACATAATAATGTGTAACATGGACGGCATAATGTGTAGACTTATCACTATATTGTACACCTGAAACTAGTGTAATGTTGTGTCAACTATACTTCAATAAAAAAGAAAAGAAAAGAAAAAAAAGAAGAGAAAAGAAAGAAAAAAAGAAAAGAAAAGAAAAGAAAAGAAAAGAAAAGAAAAGAAAAGAAAAGAAAAGAAGAAAAAAGTGCAAAGGTGTTGAGTTAGATGAGAGCTTTCCAGATGTAAAGTCCTGACATCTCAGGCGGCAAGGGACCGGAGAGGTGATTTTGTCCAACCCTACACTTTGCAGGTGAGAGAAAGGAGGCCCTGAGTAGATGGGCATGGCCGAGGCAGCCCCCACACCTTGGAAAGGCAGAGCCAGCCCCAGATATCAAGTCTCCTGACTCTCAGAGCCTGCTGGAGTCATGTTAGGTGCATCTGGGGTGATTGAGTCAAAAAGGATAGTCTCCAAAGTTCCTTCCAGATCTCAGATTTTGATAAAGAAGTAGGCGGGGGGCACCTGGGTGGCTCAGTTGGTTAAGTGACCGAGACTTAGGCTCAGGTCATGATCTTGTGGTTTGTGAGTTCGAGCCCCGCGTCGGGCTCTGTGCTGATAGCTCGGAGCCTGAAGCCTGCTTCAGATTCTGTGTCTCCCTCTCTCTCTGCGCCTCTCTAGCTTGCACTCTCTCTCTCTCAAAAATAAATAAACATTAAGCAAAAATTAAAAAAAAAAGATGTAGGCTGTTGTGGTATATAGATAGTCCTCACATGGCAAAGTAAAGCAGGATTCTATAGGCTGCTTATTTATTTATTTATTTATGAGAGAGAAAGGGGGGAAGGGCAGAGGGAGAGAGAAAGAATCTTAAGCAAGCTCCACACTCAGCACAGATCCCAATGCAGGGCTCAGTCACACCCTGGGATCATGACCTGAGCTGAAATCAAGAGTGGAAGTCTCAAGTGAATGAGCCACCCAGGCGTCCCTCTATGGACATTTTAGAACAAAAAAACCCACATTTGCCGTGGATGTCAGCCAATGAAGATAGCACTAATCAACTGCTGCTTGAGAGTGCCAGGACCACATATCTACAGCATTACACTAGTTTGTGAACCAGAATGGCTCAAATTTACTTTCAGGAAAAAAAAAGAAATTCTGTCCACTGGGCTTTTTTCTTTATCCTGATCATGTCAAATGACTAGCTTTCCCCCCTCTGCCAAAGTAAACAGTTACATAACTATCACAGGCACAGAGTTTTATAGTGAAATTCATTTAGACAAATTATTGAAAGATCTGTATTTTTTTAAATCACAACACTGTCAAGATTCGTCTTCAACCTGAGTGCACCAATGTGTTATAAAAAAATATTAGAAAACACCTAGAACATTGCTGTTACCCTTGACGCATTCAGCCATACAGACTTCATGGTAGATATTTGGCCTAATGCATGTTAATCTCATTTCTGCCTCCTCTTGGGTATAACTCCCCTTCCCTCTAGCTTTATTGAGGTATAGTTGACAAAGAAAAATTACATATATTTCAAGTGTGCAATGTGATTATATATATATACACACACACATACACACATATACACACATGTTGTAAAGTGCTACAAACAAGCTGATTAACATATACATCATCTGATGTAGTTCACCTTTTGTGTGTATATACGTATGGTGAGAACACTTAAAAGCTAGTCTTCTAGCAAATTTCAAGTATGCAATACAGTATTATTAACTATAAGCACCATGATGTACATGAGATCCCCAGGACTTGTTCATCTTATAACCGAAAACTTCTACCCTCTGACCAGCATCCTCCATTGTGCCCACCTCGCAGCCTCTGGTAACTACCCTTCTGCTTTCTGCTTTGGTGAGTTAGACCTTTTTAGATTCCACGTATAATGAGATCATATGGTATTTGTTATACATCTCCCCTTAAGCACCCCCTCCCCACCTGAGGTCTGGAGGTCTTTATTTAAATCTTTAAAAAAAATTTTTTTTAATGTTTATTTTTTTTTGAGAGAGAGAGAAACAGAGTGTGAGAGGCAGAGAGGCAGAGAGGGGAGACACAGAATCCGAAGCAGGCTTCAGGCTCTGAGCTGTCGGCACAGAACCCAATGCGGGGCTCGAACCCTCAAATGGTGAGATCATGACCTGAGCTGAAGTTGGACACTTAATGGACTGAGCCACCCTGGTGTCCCTGGAGGTCTTTATATTTTAATCTAGAGCTAGTCATTTAGGAAGTTCTTTTGCTGCAATCCGACTGAGTTCCTGGATTCTCCTAGTCTGCATAGTTTCTTTCAAATGACTCCATTTACCTTTGTTTCCTTTCACCTGAGCATGCTGCTTCTCTGACCACCCAGGAACCCAAGCTTGGTGGCCCAGGACGAGTCATACCCTGCCCTGCACTCCCGGGCCAAAGAGTCGTAAGCTTCTACCTCTGCTTGTCAGTTCTTTGGCGATTGTTGGTGTGTGTGTGTGTGTGTGTGTGTGTGTGTGTGGTGGGGGAAGGGGGCTGGGCTCCAAGTGACAGCACAAATCTCAAATGATCTCAAGGTAAGGCACAGCTTACTCACCGTCCTGGTGACCTCGGTTACACGGTACAACACAAACTGGTTGCCACTTTGGTTTCTACTGTTATATTTCTTCAGAGCAGTGTCCACAGCCTTGAATAGGTCTTCATCATTGCAATCGATTTCTTGTGAGAAGGACTCCTCGGTTAAGCTAGGTAGCAGCCTAGAGCAAAGGAAAAGCACAGCAATTAATTTCATGATTTAGCAGTCTCCCTCCAGGAGCTGAGGGATGGTTTCACCAAGATCCGGGCGCCAACTTGAATGGTGATTTTAGCTATTCTCCACCCTTTATCTCCCCTGTGCTTTCCTCTCTCTGCCTCAGCACTCTGGGTCCTGGTGAACTCCTGCTTTCCTATACTATCTGCCCTATTTCCAAAGGACAAATGGCTCTGTTGGGTTGGTTATCCAAGCAGATTTCAGGCTAAAACATTGCAACACTGAGGTTATTGGCCCGCTTGTTTGCATTCAGGAAGCACGTGGGAGCACAGAACACATTTCCAGGTGATTGCACAATGTTGTATTACAAAGCAGAACAGAAAGCAGTGAAGGAGGAGGAGAAAACACCAACCACATCTGTTATTCCCTGCCCCAAATGACTTTCCCAAAGCTGTTTCTGAAGGTCACTACATGGGACAACAATGAAACAGTGAATACAATGCACAGATACCTTTCAATAGTTTCTTTGCAAGATTGGTAGCTGCCAAAAAGCATGTTGCTACCAATCACATGGCATGTCTGAGGAGCCCATGCGCATGGGGATAAGTCTCATACCAGCACACTGGCAAAACTTAAAATAAAATATGAGCATCCTATCTGGTTTCTGGTCAGGTCTCCATTCAGTTGCATTGGTTTCAGAAAGAAGAATGCTCCCAAGGGTGGAGGAGACAGGAGAGAAGCAGAAGAAGAGATGAATTGAGTGAAGTCCTGTGTCCCCTATCCTGGCTTGTTTTTTTAAAAATTTTTAGTGCTCGCTTCGGCAGCACATATACTAAAAATTTTTAATGTTTATTTTTGAGAGAGAGAGGGAGACAGAGTGCAAGCAGGGGAGGGGCAGAGAGAGAGGGAGACACAGGATCTGAAGCAGGCTCCAGGCTCTGAGCTGTGAGTGCGGTGCCCAACGCGGGGCTCGAACTCATGAACTGCGAGAGCATGACCCGAGCCAAAGTAGGACACACAATGGACCGTGCCACCCAGACGCCCTATTTCTTTTTTTAAAGTTTATTTATTTTGAGAGAGAGTGAGTGCGTGGGCAGAAAAGGGGCAGAGAGAGGGAGGGAGAGAATCCCAAGCAGGCTCCACA